TTGGTGGTGCTCTACTTTGCTACTCCGTGCTCATGTTGGTGCTGGATGATGTATGTATGATGTTTGCAGGGGGATGGTGGTGCTGGATGATGTTGTACATGGGTATGCTGATGGTCGTGCTGGCTGATGTTGTATGTTGTACCTGGGGATGCTGCTGGATGTTGCTTGCATACATAAGGAGGCTTCGCATGCCCAGCCAGTGAGATCGTTCTGTCCGCTTTCAGTTCAAGCGCTACTTTTGATCTGCAGACTCCTTCAGCGTCTTCCCTCTAAGAAACAAACAGCAACTAGATAGTCCCTCAGCCCGAAAATAAGGCCCAAGACATAAAATTCCGCCCCCGCCGAAAATCACTAGTTTCAAGCTTAAAACACGCTAACTCCTGTAAATAACGAGGAATTCCTGACCTGTACCGTCCGATGTCGCAGAGATTAATTTGTCACCCGAACTCGTGCTGAAACCTCACGTTTGCTAGCATTCCAGCATAACGTAGCACTTTTTTTAGTACCCAAAACAACCTTGAAATATGCTTAAAACTGTGGTGAAAAACAACTTCAATACAAAATCAACGACAATAAACCATGCGGCGGGTAGTTTAGGACCCTGGGTTGCGGCGAGATTGTAAAGCTGTTTCTTCGAATGTCGCGAACAAAGAACTGCCGCTTTTTCGGATTTTAGCCTGAGTTTCAAGACACGCTGTTTAGGGTTTAGGGTTTAGGGTTTACGCTCTCAACCTCTTCCTGCGAATTCGGTCCCAATCTCTCTTTGGTTTGAGAGTTCGATGTTGGGAGTCTGGCAAAGGCTTAGCAGTCGAATGTGTTGTCCGAAAAGCAGAACATTTCGCATTTGAGCTGAGCCTTCAACAGCGCAAACCAAATCCATCAAAATCCTAGGCCCAACCAAAAAACTCACGTTGGAAGCTCAACCGTTGTTGCGGGGATTCTGCAGAGATTTGTAACCGCACCTTAGTGGGAGGGTTGAGGTATAGACGTCATATAGTAAACCCGAAAAAAGTTGGAAACCGGATTAAGGACAAGTCGTGCTGGGATTCCCTATAGATTTCTCTTAAGGATTGAGGCTATTGGGTTTCCCAACTTATGGGCTTCCAGTATAATTACCTGCAATGAGTGGCCCACCGAAAGCCATCATGTGTCGTGAGAACTTTAGGGTTTGGGGCTATAGGGTTTAGGGGGGGGTATGCGTCTAGGAGCTTTGGGTTTTAGGGCTTCGAGTGTAGGATCTAACCGCACCGGGCAAGGTTCTCATAGAGAAGTCAGACCTCATTTGGGGCAGAAGCTTTTTTGATCATTGCTTGCCAAAAACGTGCATGATTACCTAGCATGTCGGGTGCTGTTGTGCTACATGTAGCCAAAAAACCCAACAAAAAACATGACACGAGGATTGCTTGGGAGGTAGGAAGGGTATTTGTAAACCGATGGGCCCCCCCTAAAGCCCAAACCTTATAGCTCAGCCAGGACCCCCCCAAGCACCCTTTCATAGAGCCCTTATGGTCTTAAACTTCAAAAGTGGGTATTTAGGGTATTGTCGAGGGTAGCTGTGGGTCTAGGTAGACCCAAAAAGCTCAACCTGTCCAGCCCTGACTAGTCAGTCAGCTCACCAAGGCTGCTGCGCGAGAATGCCACGGAGCTAGTTCTTCCGGACGACATTTGCATCACCGTCCCTGGACCCATATAGCCTTGAGTACTTATTTTAGGGACTACGTTAAGGCCTAAGTTCATACTACATGGGTACGCAGACTGTTTGTAGGGATTGATTCTATTCTGATCCTGCGGAACCTGAGGCCACCCCGAGACCATGAAACCCCAATTAGGTTTAGGGTTTACCTTAAGGGTCATACCCTGCCCCGGTTTTAAGGTACCTAGTTTTATGGTTAGGAGCTGTTATATAAAAGAAGTAGGTACCCTAAAAAAGGGGCAGGGTATGACCCTATAGATAGGGTTTAGGGAACCCTTGACCCTAATCCCTCAACCCTCAACCCTGGCAGATCCGAGGTGCATGACGATTTCGTGTCTGTCTGAGCTCATGAAGTTCTCGTGCTCTCCTCACCGCAGAGAGGCACTGAGAAGAGAGGCCCTAAACCCTAAACCCTAAACACTGAACCCTGAACCCTCAACCCTGAACCCTGAACCCTAAACCCTAAGCCCCAAACCCTGAACCCTAAGCCCCAAACTCCAAACCCCAAGCCCTAGTCTTTGCTCAAGAACTTTCGGGACGGAACACTTCCGATGGCCGAGCCATGTGTGATTCATGATAAAGGCTTGAATGCTTAGAATAGGACTTTGGGCGCATTTTTGGTGGTCCAGGATTTCGGGTTTAGGGTTTAGGGTCCGGGATTTAGGGTTTAAGGTTTAGGGTTTAGAGTCCTTGAGGTACTTGGAATCGGTTTGTGTGGTGTAATTCGAATCGTGCAAAGACTATCTCGACCCCATACGAGCAGCATAAAGGTATCTTTAGACCCTAGACTCTAAACCCTAAACGCTAAAGCAGTTCGCAGCTGCACTCCTGGACGGAGCTGGCTCCCAGCCCCCCCTCTGTTCAGGAAGTCCATGAGTTGTTGCGGCTTATAGGATTTAGGGCTTAGGGTTAAGGCCCCCTGAACCCTAAACCCTAAAAACTAATCCCTATCCCTTATAGAGCCCTTAACGGAATCCTTACAGCTTAGAGGTTTCAGGGCCTTGGGGTTTTGGGAATAAGGTTTAGGGAGTAGAGTTCAGGGTTTAGAGCTTAGGGTTCCGGGTTGAGGATTCGGGTTTACGGTTCAAACCTCAGGATGTGTCTGAGCTGCCTTCCCCGCTATTCAGGTTCATGGTTTGCATATTCGAGCCACATCATGGACTTCCGTGTGGTTAATGCTCGACTTGCATGTCAACACTGAATTAGCTGTGATAGCCTGGACTGGCCTCTATTCCGAGCATGACGTGCCTGTGCTCAAGCAATGCCGCACTGCAGATCGCTGCAGATCTGCACGCCTATCTTTATATCGATGCTCGCTGCAAACCTAAACCTGCGAAACCTGAACCCCGATGCTTGCAGCCCTAAGCCTTAAGAACGAAGCCCGAAACTCACAGCGGGTACTTCTGCACAGCATGAGCACAGACATGCCACTGGCCTCGGAGGACAGCAGTTCAGGTCTACAGCTGCCCCTGTGGGGTTTTCGGACTCCACCAATTCGCTGCTGTGGATTTAATAGGGCTTCTGACCTGTGATGCAAAGAATATGAGCTACATTCAGATCTCAAGGTGCCTCGCCGGAAAAAAGTTAGAGTCGCTGGCACGCCAGAATCATCCAACAAATGAGCAACAAATCCGGGCTTTTTTTTTGAGTTCAGGGGGTGTGGGAGTCTAAAGGTTTCAGTGTTTTAGGGTTTAACTTAACCCCAAAGAACCGACCTTGTTGGGGCTCATTAGTATGATTTAAAGCCTAAACCCTAAACCCTAAACCCTAAACCCTAAACCCTATTTCCTTATAGGAGCCCTTATAAAAAAGTAGGCTTTTAGGGGTCCAGCTCGGGATTTTGGGAGTTTTCCTGGGCTTAATGAACCCCGGAGTCGGCTTGTGGGTTGCCGGAGCTCGTTGAGGGTTTAGGGTTTTAGGTTTTAGGGTTGTGGGGTTTAGGGTTTTAGGGTTTAGGGTTTAGGGTTGGGCAATTTGTTAATCGAGCCCCGTATTTGTTTGGGCAGAAGGATGCGTAAGTCTCTTTCTGGATACTTATGGAGAATTGAAGGATCAAATTTGTTGTATTGGGCACTAAACCCGCAACCCCAAAGCCCCAAACCCCAGCCCTACCTTCAACCCGAAGCCCCGAAACCGCTGCCTTCAAGCCGCTTCCATTCTAATTCCAAGCTGCTTTGCTTCTGCAGCCGCTTGGCTGGCCGCATTTATAAGTGCCATGATAGCTGATGTTGGGTTGAGATTGGGTTCAGGGTTTAGGGTTTAGGACTGGGTTTAGGGCTCAGGGTTCGTGTTTAAAGTTTAGGTTAAGGTTGGTCCAGGGCCCAGTGGGTTTCGCATGACCTCGGTGCAGCCTGAAGCCGTAAAGGAACGCGTCACTACGTAGTAGCCATAGATCTTTAAGCTAGAAGATTCCATGCACCTGAGCTAGTAATATAATATACCCCAGAACCCTATTCTAACTATTAAGGCCCTATACACCCTAAACCCTCATAGTAGCCCGTATAGTTAAAGGCACCCCATTAAAGCCCTATTCTAATTCTTAAGGCCTGTTTTTTAGGGTGACCTTAGGGGCTTCCCCGACTTCACATGCGGAGCTGGGTTTTGCGACTCTGCGCCTGCCAGGCCAGTTCGGTTTCGGGTTTCGGGTTTAGGGTTTACTAAACCCCAAACGCTAAACCCTAAGCCCGAAAACCCTAAACCCTAAAGCCTAAAACCCTAAAAGCCCTAAAACCCTAAACCCTAAAGCCTAAAGCCCTAAAAGCCCTAAAACCCTAAAACCCTAAAGCCTAAAACCCTAAAAGTCCTAAAACCCTAAACCCTAAAGCCTAAAAGCCTAAAAC